CCTGTGCATAGAAGAATGAAACACTGCCTGGTCCTGTGCCAGCCTCCCACAATCCTTTCTATACCTGAGCCTATCGTTGGAGCCACTGTGTAAATCCGTCTCATTGAGGGTCTTCCCCTTCTTTGTTGACCCTCCACTTTACCAAGCATAATATCCTTCTCCAGGGAGTGATTCCTTCTGACAACATGACCAAAGTAGGTAAGACGAAGTCTGGCCATTTTCGCTTCTAAGGAACATTCCAGCTGCACTTCTTCCAGGACAGATTTGTTAATCCTTTTAGCATACCATGGTACTCTTAGCATTCTTCTCCAACACCACAACTCAAAAGCATCAACTCTTCTTTGGTCTTCCTTATTCATCGTCCAGCTCTCACGTGCATAAGAGGCGACTGAAAATACCATGGCTTGGGTTATGCGCACCTTAGTCTTCAAGGAGACATCTTTGCTCCTCATCACTTGAAAGAGGTCTTTTGCAGCAGATTTTCCCAATGCAATACGTCATCTAATGTCTTGCCTTCTGCTTCCTTTGGTGTTGATTGTAGAACCAAGTAGTATGAAGTCTTTGACAACTTCAGTCTTTTCTCCATTTATCATGAAGATTTTTTTGGACCAGTTGTGAGGATTTTTGTTTTCTCTATATTGAGGTGTAATCCATACTGCAGACTGTAATCTTGAATCTTCTTTAGTAAGTGCTTCAAGTCATCCTCACTTACAGCAAGCAAAATTGTGTTGTTTGCATAATGCAGGTTGTTAATGAGTCTTCCTCATATCCTGATGCCATGTTCTTCTTCGTATAATCCCGCTTCTCGGATTGTTTGCTCAGCATACAAGTTGAGTAAGTATGGTGAAAGAACAACCTTGGCATACTCCCTTCTTGATTTTGCACCATGCTGTATCCCCTTGTTCTGTGCAAATGACAGCCTCCTGGTCTATGTACAGGTTCCTCATGAGCACAGTCAAGTGTTCTGTAGTTCCCATTTTTCTCAATATTATCCATAATTTGTTATGATCCACACGATTGGATGCTTTTACATAGTCAATAAAACATAAGTAAACATCTTTCTGGTATTCTTTGCTTTCAGCTAAGATCTGTCTGACATTAGCAATGATACCTCTCGCTCCAGTCCTCTTCTGAATCCAGCTTGCATTTCTGGAAGCTCTCTATCAATACACTCCTGCAACCGTTTTTTACTTATCTTCAGTAAGACTTTACTTGCATGTGATATTAATGATATTGTTCGATAATTTCCATATTCTGTGGGATCACCTTTCTTTGGAATGGGTACAAATATGGATCTCTTCCAGTCAGTTGGCCAGGTAGCTATCTTCCAAATCTCTTGGCATAGATGAGTGAGTGCCTCCAGCATGGCATCTGTTTGTTGAAACATCTCAATGGGTATTCCGTCAATTCCTGCAGCCTTGTTTTTCTCCACTTCTTTCAGTGCAGCTTCAGCTTCTTCCTTCAGTACCATTGATTCTTGATCATATGCCACCTCCTGAAATGGATGAACATTGCCATTTCTTTATGGTACAGTGACTCTGTGTATTCCTTCCATCTTCTTTTGATGCTTCCTGCATCATTCAATATTTTGCTCATAGAATCTTTCAGTATTGCAACTCAAGGCTTAAATATTTTCCTCAGTTCTTTCAGCTTGAGAAATGCCAAGTGTGTTCTTCCCTTTTGTTTTTCTAACTCCATGTCTTTGCATATTTCATTATAGTATGAATAGTATGGCTATGTCTTCTTGAACTGCTCTTTGAAATCTTCTATTCAGCTCTTTTATCTTGTCATTTCTTCCATTTGCTTTAGCTGCTTTCCATTAAAGGGCAACTTTCAGAGTCTCTTCTGACATCCATTTTGGTCTTTTCTTCCTTTTCTGTCTTTTTAATGACCTTTTGCTTTCTTTACATGATGATGTTCTTGATGTCATCCACAGTTCCTCTGCATTTTGGTCGTCAAACCTATTCTTTAAATGGTCTCTAAATTTAGGAGGGATATTATCAAGGTCATATTTTGGCTCTCATGGACTTGTTTTGTCTTCGACTTCATCTTTAACTTGCATATGAGCAGTTGATGGTCTGTTACAGTCAGCTCCTGGCCTTGTTTGGCTGAAGGTATTGAACTTCTCCATTGCCTCTTGCCACAGATGTAGTCATTCTGATTCCTCTGTATTCCATCTGGTGAAGTCCACATGTATAGCCATTGCTTGTGCTGTTGAAAAAAAAGGTATTTGCAATGAGTAAGTCATTGGTCTTACAAAATTCTGTCATGCGATCTCCAGTGTTTTTTCTATTACTAAGGCCATATTTTCCAACTACTGGTAACTTTTCTTCATTTTCAACTTTTGCATGCCAGTCACCAGTGATAACACATCTTGATTGCATGTTTGGTCAATTACAGACTGCAAAAGTTGGTAAAAATCTTCAATTTCCTCATCTTTGGGTTTGGTGGTTGGTACATAGATTTGAATAATGGTAGTATTAACTGGTCTTCCTTGTGGGTATATGGGTATTATCCTATCACTGAGACCTTTGTATTTCAGGATAGATCTTGAAACAATCCTTGTGACAATGAATGCCACACCATTCCTCTTCAATTTGCCATTCCCAGCATAGTAGATCATATGGTTGTTTGAGTCAAAATGGCCAAAACCAGTCCATTTCGGCTCACTAATACCTAGGATATTGACCTTTATGTGTTGCATTTCATTTTTTACAACTTCCCATTTTCCTAGATTCATACTTCACGCATACTATGTTCCAATTATTAATGGATGTTTGTATCTGTTTCTACTCATTGTGAATCATGCCACATCAGCCAAGGGAGGTCCCAAAAGCTTTACTGTTTCCATATTGTTAAGGTAGTCTCTACTCTGAGGAGTCAGCTCTTCCCTAGTCAAATTTTGAATGCATTCCAACCTAATGGGTTCATCTTCCAGGACTATATCAGACAGCGTTTCAGGGCTATTCATAAAGTTTTCCAGTAATATATCAGACAGTGTTTCACTGCTATTCATAAGGTTTTCACTGGCCAATTGTTTGAGAAGTGGATGGCCTCTTCCTTCTTCTGAGTCTGTCTTAGCCCAGAAGCTGCACTGAAACCTGTCCACCAACCCTGCTGGCATAGCCTCCAGCCTCACAGCAACACAGAAGCCACCACAGGAAAACAAACTGACAGACAAGTTTGTCTGTCTCCCATAGTTTTCCTAACCTCTCTGCACCCACCTACCTCAGGCCCCAGGCTTAAACTAGAGCCACACCCAAGCAAAAAGCAGCCCCCAAGTCCCACACCCACCTACCTTGGGCTCCAGCCTTAAAATAGAGCTGCCACCAAGCGAAAAGCAGCCCTCAGGCCCTGCACCCACCTACCTCAGGCCCTCGCCTAGAAATAGAGCCGCCTCCCAAGTGAAAAGCAGCCCCCAAGCCCTGCGCCCACCTACTTCAGCCCCAACCTCAAAATAGAGCCACCCCCAAGTGAAAATCAGCCCAAGCCCCACGCCTCTCTATAAGTGTACAACCTAGGAAAGTCTATGGGGCAGTTCTACTCTATCCTACAGGGTCTGAGTCAGAATCAACTCAATGGCAGTGGGGCTCCAGCATGGATGGTGATTTTTCTACCACTTGCCGTCAGTTATAGTTCACTCTTTTGAAGGAATACACCTTAATACCTGTTACTGTTGACAGGGTTTAATTTTCTGTTGACCAGTTTTGAACATAAGGCTCAGATCTTCTTGGGCTGGCACTCAGGGTGGAGCTAACTAGTTGCTGTTGAGTCAGTTTGTACTCATGGCAACTCGATGACTAGAATTGTGCTCCACGGGGTTTTTAATACCTCTCTTTTCAGAAGTAGATCATCAGGCCTTTCCTGAAGTGCCTCTCGGTGAACTTGAGTCACTAACCTTTCAATTAGCCACTGAATACATTCTAGAACCTAGTTATTTCTGGTTATATTCTTTGTTAGTCATATATTCAGTTATATTCACTATGCCTTTCTCTAATTTTTTTTTTCTTTATTGGGTTATTTATTTGTAAGGCAGCAGCATGTATTAACTGAATTAAATCATATCTTCATTCTTCATGCTTAGAAACCTGTTGATGGAAAAAAATGGTCTAGTTCTGACTGGACATTAGATTCTCAAGAACTGGCGAGTAAATTTAATTCCAAAACCAAAGCTCTTATACTAAATACTCCACATAACCCTATTGGCAAGGTAAGTAAATCTTTTATCTCTATATAGTCTTCTGGTTTATTATTATTTTCATATGTTGAATAATAACTGGCCCTCTTATTTTTCCCCTTTAATAATGTATAGGTGTATACCAAAGAGGAACTCCAAGTAATTGCTGATCTTTGCATCAAACACAATACACTCTGTATCAGTGATGAAGTTTATGAATGGCTTGTATATACTGGAAATAAACATTTTAAAATAGGTACTGATAATTACATAGTCACAAATCTAATGTGTTTGTGCATGTATGGAACTGATTGAAAAGAATCTCAAACCAGCTTTAAAATAGTCTTTATAATGGATTATGTGCACTTAAATTATTAAAGTTTAATTATTAATTATTTTGTGCACTTAAAAATGAATGACTGATGCTTGAGTGAATCCATTAACAAGTTGAAAGATAAATAGTAAAAACTTAGGAGAAGAGTTTTCTGGATCACACTAATAATTACTGAAACCAGTTAAGTTGTACTTTTTCCTATCTGTGTCTTTGGGTTCTTTTCAAGAATCCAGCTATTACTTGGTACATAAGATACAAGGAGTTTACTAGTTTCTAAACTTGGTTCAGAATCTTTCAGTGACTTCCCATTTGCTCCAAATGAAAGCCTAAATTCTTACAATGTCCTGAAAGTGCCCACATGGCCTGCCCCCCACTTCATCTGTGACATCATCTCCTTATCCTCTCCTTTTGCTTATTTGGCTCTAGCACGCTGGCCTCTTTGCGCGTCTTCAACCACACAAGGCATCTTGCTGTCTAAGGATCTTTGTACTTACTGTGCCCTTTTTCTGCTACAGTGAGTGAGTGACTCTCCTTAGCCTACAAAGGCATCCTTTTCATATTTCCTGTTCATTTATGCAAGCATTGCTGTCTGAGTGCTACTATGTGCAAGGCTTTATTCTGGTAGTTGGGGTCACAAGAGTTATCAAAACAAAAATCTCTACCTTCTTGTAGCTTAGAAGTAATATATGTAGTATATTAGATTATGATATTTGCTATACAAAAAAAGAAAAAGGGTAAAGCAAGTACTGGAGGGAACAGTGTTTTGAATAAATATACAGATTACTTGAGCAACACTTATATTAAAGGTAGATAACATTAACAGTTCTGCCTTTCTCATGTGGCTTTTTGAGGAACAAACTAAACAATGTGTGTCAAAGGCCTTTGAAAAACATATAATAGTAATAATAATCCCATATCAAGTCCTTTCTATATGCAAGAAATGTTTTATATAAATTAACTCAGTTAATCTTCACAACGATCTCATGATTCGCTACTATTATTATCATTTCAAACATGAGGAAATTGAGACACAGAGAAGTTAAGCAGCTTGTCCTAAGTCAGCAGTATGTAAATTGCTTAGCTGAGATTTGAACCCATGCTATCTGTTTTCACTCTCCTTTCCTACTGCTAAAAAGGCAAGGAGGCCACATCTTCTGACCTCCTCTAACTGCACAAGAGGAAAACAGAATCACTGTCAGTAGCCCAAGGCCCATTACTGTGACGCCAGACATGATACCTCCCTCCAGCCCTTTCACCAACCCTGACACCAACTGTTCCTCCCACAGCACCCACCTTTCTGCTCAGGGTTCAGTAATTCACTGCAGTGGCCACACAGAACTCAGATTATGGGGTTTAACAGGGAAGCACCAGGCTGTAATTCAAGTTCAGGAAAAACGCCCAGTCCTTCTCCCAGCCCGCCATCTCTCCGCCAACAGTCTCTCACAGTCTCTCTCCCCAGTAGTGTGTGTCCCTCGGTGTCTCACTCAGCAATGCGTGTCTCTAGCATCTTTTTCCCAGGAGCATGTGTGTCTTTTAGCAGCACATCCTTAGCCAGCAGTCAGAGAGACCTTTGCCTCTAGGAGGCCTCCTTTTGAGCCCAGCAGAGTGGCCAAACCAACCAATCATAACATCAGAATTCTAAGCACCTGAGAGAGAGTGGAAACCTCCCAGAACATTGTTTTGTGCCACTCCCAACAGAAATACCCCAGGTGGACAACTGTAGCAATTAGGAGCTCCTCAGTTGCTCATGGCAAATTCCACCTTGGAGTTGACAAAGACTTATGGGTAGAAAAGCCACACTAAGTAATTTACTATACCACACCTACCTACCATCTATACTACCTAATGATACCACTAAAGTAAAGTAATATTTTTATTTCTGATTCAGAAAGGACTCCATGAAATATTCCAGTCACCCTGATTTAGCAACCTGAGATTAGAACTGATGTAGATTCAATAGGATCCCTTGCTATTGGGAAGAACTAGGACCACTGACAAAAGAGATACCCCAAGCCACACTCATTCTATAAATTACCAACATAGTTGTTGTTGTTAGTTGCTATTGAGTCAATATTGACTCATACCGACCCCATGTGTACAGAGTAGAACTGCACCATAGGGTTACCAAGCCTGTGACCTTTCAGAAGCCAGTCACCCAGCCTGTTTTCTGAGATACCTCTGGGTGGGTTTGACCTGCCAGCTTTTAGCTAATAATTGAGTACTTAACCATTTACACCACCTAATGACTCTTGAATCATCATAAAGCTAAATAAAAGTCTCCTGAAGGATGACAACAACTCAAATGGTCTTTTGATCTGTTTTTACTGTGGAGTTCTTCATTCGCTCATTAATTCATTTATTAAGCACCTATTCTCTGGTAGCATAGTGGCTAAGACACTTGCCTGCTAACCAGACGGCTGGCGGTTCAAACCCACCAGCCACTCCTCGGAA